CTTGAACTCCTGAGCTCAAACAATCCACCTGTCTCGGCCTCCCAGAGTGCTAGGATTACAGGCGTCAGCCACCGCACCCGACCCTGTTTGTATATCTTTAGGTACCTTCTACATAAAAGATCCTAAGTTTGCAGTAATTTTGTGTTTGTTTTATTTGAAGTTCAATCTCTAACTTTTTATTGCATCCCTAGGCAATTATATGGTATAAAACACTAGTGCTTGCTCTGACCAGACACTGTTGGAAGTGTTTTCTTTGTAATAGCACATTTAATCTTCATAACAAACTATCAATTAGCAGTTATTATTGTCTCCATTTTATAGATAAAGAGACTCAGGCAGAGAAGAGTTAAATAACTTGCCTATGGTTATATTGCTAATAAGTAGTAAAGCATTTGCTTTACTAAAGCATTGCTAATAAGTAGTAAAGGATTTGAACTCAGGCAGTCTAGCTCCCAAGTCCAATTTCTTAACCACCATACTACACTATGAATCTTTTAATTAAGCCTATTAATTTAGACACAGGTTAAAACAAACAAACATACAGATAAAATAAAAACAGAGCTTGCAAGTTTGAATGTCCTCGCCAAATAAAAAATAATAAAAAAAATAGAGCTGGCAGTAGTTTGCATGTCCTCTCCAAAACTCATGTTGAAATTTGGTTGCCATTGTAACGGTGTTGACCTTTAAAAGGTGACTAGGCCATGAGGGCTCCAGCCTCACGAAGGGATTAATGCTCTTATCCCGGGAGTGGATTAGTTATCATGGGAGTGGGCTCCTGATAACACGATAAATTCAGCTCACTTCCCTGTCTGTCTTATGCACTCACTTCCACCGTCTACCTTTCACCATGGGATGTTCCTTGCCAGATGCTGTCACCACGCTCTTGGACCTGCCAGCTTCCAAAACCATGAGCCAAATAAACTTCAGTTCTTTATAAATTACTCGGTCTGTGGTATTTTGTTATAGCAACAGAAAACAGACTCGGACAGAGCTCTTACTGAATAATCTGATGGCAGAAAATTGGAAGAGAGAAATTTTGTTTTCATTCATATTAATCTTAAGACAGAGCCAATTTTAAGGGAGAGTCATCAATTTATAATTATAATTTCTTTTCCTATAAGGTGTTTAGTTTTTTAAGGAAATCTTTGTGTGCAAGTAGCAAATATGGGAGAAACATTATCGATGTAACAAACTTGCAAACCAATGATTGGAGGTTAGCTTGTACAACTTTTTCTATTACTTTTGTGAAAGAAAGATAATGGGAGAAGACAGCATGGAGAAGTTAGGCTAAAAGAAGTAGAATCGAGGAGCCAGAACAGTGGCTCACACCTGTAGTCCCAGTTAGGAGGCTGACACAGGAGGATCCCTCGAGCCCAGGAGCTCAAGGCTTCAGGGAGCCACGATTGCACGAGTGCACTCTAGCCTGAGTGATAGCGGAGTGGGAGCTTACCTCTTAAAAAAAAAAAAAAAAAAGAGAGAAGAAGAAATAGAGTGAAGAATGTCAATCTTCCAGGACCACTGAAAATATTCTGTATTCACTTGAACTTAGCAGTGCTGGGCGTCTCTTCAAGCAACCAATACATGTGAACTTTTCCCAGTGTCATCAATTTAATTTTTGTCATTCATTCTTTCCCATTTCAGTGGAGAATATCATATTATAAAAAGAGGTAATGATAATTTCATTAGCTGAGAAATGTATCTCCACTCCCCACTCAGGGTTCAAGAACTTGGGTCTTGAATTCTTTAAGCTACAAGAATATCTATCTCTCTATCTAATTAGATATATATTTAATATTTAGATAATTATGTTTAACCATACACAGAATTACACTTGGATCTACACATATTCATCTAGGTTATTTTTCCTATTTCTATATTCCCAATCTATTTTCTCTCAAAATATCAAATATAAAAGTATTTAATTAAAGTGACTATAATTTACCAATTGAATCAAATTCCAGTGCAGACACAAACTATATTTATTAGTGAGTATACCCTTGGCAGTAAAATACTACAAAATATCTTTTTGTTTTTTTCTTCAGGGTCATTTATTTTCCAAACCTTTCTAGCCTCTAATTCCAAAGAAGCAGTTGCATTATTATTTCTACTTCTACATACAAGAAGGAATTGATCCCACTGTCAGATAAGCGGAAGAAAATCTTTCATCCTTCTTTTCTCAGCAGCATGGCTGTTGGGCTGTATCTTTACTTTTTAGTTGAACATGAGGTAGAAACAAAAGTAGCAAGAGCAGCAAGAATAGTTTCATGTGTAAAAATTTATGAAGCAAATAGCTTAACCACCATTTTATTTGACTATATAATGACTCTCACAAAAGAGACCGGAAAAGTCACAGTATTACAGGATGATTGGCTATTATTAACAGTTGTAGGTTATGACTGCTTCCGAATACGTTTTATTAGTCTCGAACTGGCTTGTTGTTCAACTGTCCAGGATACTCATATACCTGATCATCATTTTCTCTCCTCTTCAATATATTGGTATACATTTGTCATAAAATAGCATGACAGTGAAAAGAGTAGCAGACGGGGTTCACATGTCCACTTCTTCACTTGTTATGGGTCCACAGGCAAAGGGCAGTTACTTACTCTCCTGTGGTTTCATCATCTCCTAAAAGGAGCCTTCGTTGAGCTGTTGGCAGGATTCGCTCAAATGCCTGTCATGGATCCTGATTTATATCAGTGTCTCAGTAAATACGAATTTTAGTTCTCTCTCTATAACCAAAATTGTGCAATGAAAACTTCAAAATATTTATCTTCCTCCCCCTAACTTCCATCACTGCCATTGAGGGCAGTTGGTATTATTGAGCTAAGCTGGCGTAGGAAAAATGATGCTAAAAGTTCTCACTGCAAGAGTTATTAGTGTTTAAAAAACCTAAACTTCATGGCATTATTGTGCCATCAGGCTAGGGTATCCTGCATGTCATGTACAATTAGAGTGAATGGAGTGATTTTAAAGGGACTTGTTCTCACAGATCATAGTTGTCCTTGAAAAAAGATAAGGCTAAAAAACAATGGCTTCACGTATAACAAAAAGAAAGCAATAAGAAAATTATATTCCAGCTATTTCTTTATTGTCTTACTTTTACAAGGTCTACACGCTCGGGTAAGCTCCTCGTAACATCTAGAGGACCAGACAATGGACAGATGATGATAGGGAGTAGACGCAATGCTTCTATGAAGTTGCTGCTTTAAACGGGAATGCCAGATCTCTGGCAGAACTGCCATGCTGTGAGCGACAAACTACACCTAAATGCTTAGATGGGGAGATAACTTTGGATGGGTGTGATTACACACGCTTGTGTCCCCTGATTTGCCAATGGTAGCCAAGGAGGCATCACTTCCTCGCATGGAGTTTGTGCACAGTTCATGTTTGTACCCGGGGGCAAGACAGGTTAATAAGGCCAAGAAGGAGGGGAGGCTGTGGGAGTGGGTAATAACCGGGGAGGACTCCGCAGCATCAACCTGGGGGGAAAGGGAGGAGGGCTGGGGATGGAGGGTGTTCCCTCCTGCTTCTGCCTGTGTGTTAAGTGGCAGGAGAAATTTTGAAAGCTGCTGTGAGGAGGAGCTAGTGACTGGGTTTTGGGGTGTCTTGTACCCCACCCTCCTCACTTGTAGGAAAACCTCTTTGCATTCAGAGGTAATTGAACTGGAAGGAGGATACGGGCCAGGGAATAGGGAGGAAAGCAATTCTCCTGCTGCTCCTCCTCCCATCGTTTATCACTTGCCTCCTGACTCTCTTCCAAACCAAGCGCAGCTGTGCCAAGGTGGCAGCAGCACATCCTGCCCAAGTGCCAGCATCTGCTTAGCCGCCCTGTGCGTCCCAGGCTGCCCTATTCTCTGGTCACCGTCCCTGGCCATTGGGACTGCTTCTGATGGCTGTGGCCTCCGCCGCCCCAGGGAGCATCTTCTGTAAGCAGCTCCTTTTCTCTCTCCTGGTGAGTAACAACCAAAGGATTAGGGAATTCTAGCATGTTACCACTTGCTTCCTCCTTTCAGTTTGGGTCTGAGGGAGACTCTGAGTGGGGATGGGAGGCAGAGAAGACAGACTGGGGAAAAACAAAAGAGATCCGAGGACAGTTCAGCAAAGAGTTGAGAGATTTGGATCCAGGATGGGAAGGGTTTGGTTTACTTCTCAAGCACCCACTGCCAGGATGTTAAAGTTTTTCAAGGGAATCCCCTGTTGGATGTTGCTGTGGTGTTTTTGTCAGGAGTGGTGAAATGAATTCATTCCTTAGGCATTCAGCCCAGAAGGTTCTGAGGTTTGCTTTTGCTACTAGTCATTACATAAGTGCATGTGCATGTTATTTAACATAGTTCCACTGAGCTGCAAAAAGAGGAAAAGGATTCTTGGTGAGTTTGCAAATTATCTGGGACTTTTTAAATTTTACCAGAAAGGGCCAAGAGAAAGGGCAAAACTGTTAGTTAAGCAAACATTTTAACTTAAGAAAAATAATAAAAGTGTGACAGTCGTTGAAAATACCATTAACTTGGCTTCCACTTGGGTTTTTAATAGCTTTAGAACTGTGTTTAAGGTGCTATTTTTTCTTTGGCGGAGAGGGGGGAAAAAGAGCGGAATTGTCCCACATCTCCATCGGGCATTTCTGAGCTGTGAATTTCATTTTTTTTTTGTTGTTTTAGCAAAATATTTTAGATTCAAATTATATTTTCTGAATTTGATGCTTTTACTGTATGGGGAATGAACATTTTTTCCATGTATGTGACGCAGGTTGACTTCTCATCCTGTAACTGTTTGAGGAGGAGAGAAGTCAGACCATCTTGAGTTGGTATTGGTTAGGTCAAATGTGGACAAATTTTGCAAGGGATTCCAGTCAGATTTATTTTGCTTTTGATCCCTGCCATGTCCAGTATCCCTTGATCCATCATGCCCTGCCCATTCATTCCTGCCCCCCATACTGACTAAAAGTGTGTCTGACCCCAATTCTCTCCAAATCACTTAGCTGCTGATTTCCTCTCAAGACTGGAATAGTTAAATGCTTAATGAGTGGAAACCTTCAGTGGCTCTGCCTGCACAGGGAGGACCATCCAGGTGGGGTCCAGGACAGGGAGAAAAGAAGATGAGGGTGGGAGTGGGAGTGTGGATATATCCTGTGAGAATGTCAAGAATGTCTCATGTGTGTGTGTGTGTGTGTGTGTGTGTGTGTGTGTGTGTGTAGTCATGCATGGCATAACAACTTTTAAGTTAATTATGGACTGCGTATACAACGGTGGTCACATAAGATCATAATGGAACTGCCCTCTACAAGTGTACCATTTTTTACCTTTTATGACTGTATTTTTACTCTACGTTTTCTATGTTTAAATATGTTTAGATACACAAATACTTACTATTTATTTATACTACTATTGTGTTATAATTGCCTGCAGTATTCAGTACAGTAAAATGCTGTGCAGGTTTGTAGCCTAGGAGCAATAAGCTAGACCATACAGCCTGGGAGTGTAGTAGGCCCTACCATCTAGGTTTGTGTAAGTACACTCTATGATGTTCATACAATGAGAAGTTGCCTAACAAGACATTTCTCAGAACATATCCCCATTATTAAGCAACACATGGCTGTATATATACATACATATACACATATATAGGTGTATGTACAGGTATATACCTATATATTATATGCATGTATAGGTATATATGTATGTGTATAAATATATTCCTAATTACAAAATACTATTTCCACATTATATATTTAGACCACTACTAATGGAATGCTTTATGCTCAGAAAGTTCTTTATATATAATTTAGTGCATTTCCTGGCATTAGGGATGAACACATTTTAAAAAGTCAAATAAATGAGAATGTCTCATGTTTTAAAAGGTGGTTATTTAAATTAGAACTGAACACAAGTACGACTTTTAAAATTCCAGCTTTTCATATTGTCTGCCAGACAGAAATTTATAAAATTATAAACTATTTAAAAAGGCTATTACAATATATCCAATAGACTTGAGTTGGAAAAGAAGTGCATATCGTTCTCTTTCCTGCTCACAAATAATATGGGTCCAATAGTTCTAGAAATGTCTTCAGAGAGAAATTGATCATAAAACTGGCTGATATGTTTCTGGGAAATCTAGCTCTGCTCTGCTTTATATTTAAATAATAAAAAAGCAGTAATTTTGATAAAAGGAATGAAAAGCAATTTAACAGAAAATGCCAAGAAAAGGAAATAAAATATGTTTTTCACTTATAGATACCTCTGAAATACTAGCTTTTCTTTTCTTTCTTAGATAGTATCTTTCTTCTTTGAACTACCTAGATTTTAAAAACAATAGTTATATCGTTAATTAAAAATCTTTACCCATTTGAAAACTACTCTCTATATTTTGAAATATATTTCTTGTTAGACTAGTTATGTAATTTGAGATCATTTCGACTTTGATGTTTTTGCCAAGTCAGTCTGAAAAAGTGATTTGAAAACTATGAATATTTATAGGCATTATTCTTTATGAATTTAAAAAACAGCCTCAAATATTTTTTAGATTTCATCAACTATACCCTCAAATAGTGAAAATGATGGTTTGAGAAATATTATAGATACGTGACTATTGTATTCTAGAGTTAAGTACTTTCTTCATGCTAAAAAATCAGAATGACATTTATTAATGGTCTTAGAGATATATAACCTACATATAAAGCCAATGGTTTGTAACACATTTTCTTACAATGATACAATATGATTTAGGTCCTAAGAACTACTGTTCACTCATCTTTTTCATACATGCTAAATGGTAGTGATGTCCCTCATGCCATTGTCTTTGCTGGTTCCTTTGAAAATGAACATGAAAAAAATAAGGGATTAAAAGATTAATTTGTTTTCAAAATTGACAATATTTTTATCAATAAAACAGAATTGTATTTAGAGAATTTATGATCCAATGTAATTCCTGATTTTTCTCTTTCTTTTGAGGTTCTAATACTATTTTGCGATGCTTGTCAGAAAATTTCTCTTCGAGTTCCTTCTCATCTTCAGGCTGAAACACTTGTAGGCAGAGGTAAGAAACTACATTAAGAATTTTAAGTTGTAACTTGCTACATTTAGCTTTAGGCTGCTCTTATAAAGTTTGGGATAAAAGCCATATAGTAGCTACTTGGCATTAAAATTGGACATACAATAAAAGATAGGTTACTTGTTTTTTGGTAGTGGTTAGAAATAATTAAAATTCCAAAGTTAGTTGTATAGTTAGTTGCCAGAAAAATTAGCAAACATCAGAGGGCTAAATTATCTTAGTTTAGTTCAAACAAAGCAAGACACCAACACCAGAAACATATTTTAATTAATATAAACTAATCTGCTGCCAAAATTCCAAAGCCAAGATTCTTTAATTGATTAGACACAAAATTGATGTGTCAAAGTTAAATGACCCAAATAAAATTTGTGCTTGAGGTTGATTACAATGAACAATTATCCACCAAGAATGGATGTGATATATTCCACAGAACAGCTTGTGAAAGCAAACAAAATTTCAGTGGGTCTTACCACCACAGCCATCCCTGAAGTATAGGTTGGTTGTTCTGAGTCTAAAGGTAACCTTTTCATCAAAGCTTTTCATTGGCTTTGAGTTTACATTTAGAAAAATGCACCTTGAATACAGTAGTATCTTTTCTAAGACAGACACTATTTTGCCCAGTACTCTAAGGTTTTAAATTAATATAAACAGTCCACACTCTAAAGGCACATAATAAATACACTAAATATGTTAAATATGAATCTATAAAGGAAATATTTGGACAACAATCACAATATATGTTAATCATTGGCTTTATTAAACTTCCAAAAGTATTACAGAAGGATTATTTGCAATATTACTGAAAAATATTACTTAAGAATAGACTAGTTTTATTTGTGGCAAGATCATTTTAACTATCAAAAATTATTGCAAACAAGTTCAAAATCTACCGACATCATATAGTTATACTACTTATACATACATACAAACCCATAAATCAGAGTTAAAAAGTAATGAGAATAAATCCAGTGGCATTAGGAAAATATATTATTTCTTAAATTAATTTATGGTAAAATTAGTGGAAAATGTGATTCCATTAATTTCTGTAATTTTCCTGGCCCCTAAGTTTTAGAATAGCATCACATTCCAAGTGTAACTTCCCTCTTCTATTTCTCATGCACCGACTCGCGGTTGTCATTCCTGTAAAACTTGTTCTATTCCTGTTTCATCTGACATTGCTGTGCCATTTCTTCCCTGCAGTGAATCTGGAGGAGTGTCTCAAGTCAGCCAGCCTAATCCTGTCCAGTGACCCTGCCTTCAGAATTCTAGAAGATGGCTCAATTTACACAACACATGAGCTCATTTTGTCTTCTGAAAGGAAGAGGTTTTCCATTTTTCTCTCAGACAGTCAGAGACAGGAACAAAAAGAGATACAAGTTGTACTGTCAGCAAGAGACAACAAGGTATAATAGGCAAGGATTTAAGTTGCCGAGTATATTAATCTGCTTACAAAGAGTCTTTCATTTCATATACTTCCTTTCAGGTCTAAATCATTGTTCTTCAATGATCATTTGTTTATACTTTCCACTTGTAATTAATTAAAGACTACACTATTAAGGAGTGGTAGAGCTATTAACTTAATTGTATAAAATGAACAACTCTGTAGCCAGGGAGCAAAGTAAGAACATCAAAGGCTTCAGAGAATGTTTTTAGGTGTGGCAACAGGAGCAATCAACCCCAGGAACCAGGACAAGACAGGCGGGTCTAAAACTCAGAGAAAAGTGATTGCGACTGGAGAAATGGCGCACCACCCTGTGTGAGGCTCTCTCCCAACGGACTGTGGGTTTGAGTGTCTCTTTGAAAATGAGAAGAGATCATCTAAAGCTTACTCCCATCTTAATCTAAAATCCTACTGAGTCCCTCTCTTCAAAGAGTGGAGGTGTGGCCAGTCCACGGGATTGTTTGAGTTTAGGCTCATTTTCTTGCAGTGAATGGTGGTGATTGGTTCAGGGAGCAGAAGAGAGAAGGTTGCTGACATTCACATCTCACTTTAATCAAACTCAGCCCAATGATTTGGTCTTATAAAATAATTTATTAATAAGCAATTCAATTTATAAGAGGATTTGCCAGCTAAATTCCTTTTGATTACAAGAACTCCTCTTCACTGAATTTAGGCTTACAAAATATGTGATATCCAAATTGTAAAGAGTCTCTACATTATATAAAATAAAGTATACTTGAACAAATGCTGACCTGTATTTTTATATAGGTATATAAATGGTTGTACTGTAGCAAGAGTTTTAACAGATTTTGGTTATGCCATTCCTAGTGGAATAAAATCAATTCTTAAATATTTATTAATGGATTATCTATTTTTAGGGGGTTCTGTACCTTCTGAAGGTGGCATTTTCCCAATGCCCTATACATTTCTTGTTGGTTAACTAATTAAAGTAGGAAATAGGTGGAACTGGGGGATATAATACAGTCAGAGGTTTTAGTGTGTGTGTGTGGGTGGGTGTGTGTGTGTTATAAATAGAAATGCTTTGAGGATTATCCATGATATTATGTATAATCCTTACTTATTTTCTCCTTGTTGATGTATGTGTGAAAAATTGCATTTCCAAGAATGATAAGCTATGCTGTATTTTTTTATTTCTCATCAAATATAGGCTCCTAAGAAGAGACATACCAAAGACACAGCCCTCAAGCGCAGCAAGAGGCGATGGGCTCCTATTCCATGTTCACTGATGGAGAACTCACTGGGGCCATTTCCACAACACATTCAGCAGGTACGTTTCATCTTATTTGATTTTATATGTGTTAGAGATTTTTTGTTGCTAAAACTTTCCATTTGAATTGCACAGTATATTGAATCAGGGCTTTAAACTATTAGCACTTAGGAATCATCTGTACACAAGAACTAGAGTCACACAGAAGTGATCCGGTATATTTCATCATTTTCTTCAAGAAATCATATTTAGGCATTTAGAAACAAGTTTTATATTTTGAGTTTCTGATTCCCTTAGGTCTACGTCCAAATCCACCTGAATGTTATGCTAGATATTTTAGCACTCATATACAGAGGTAGCCTACAGATTTTGCATAATTCAACTCTCACTTAAATTAACATTTAAAATAAAA